TTTACACGGTTAGACTTTTCCTTTGAAAACAATGTATCACTTCTCTCATTCTAAGTTAGCTTCATAACACACTCCCTCTGTTTTGCTTCCTCCTCTTTTAATTTTGCTTTGAGGTTTTCGAGCAATGGTATGTCATCACGTGACTGTATGGCTATACTAAAATTTTCATATTCATCTGGTAGTGATCCGAGGAGCATAATCAATAGTAATTCTGATATTTCTATTCCCGCTTCCTTCAGTTGATCAGCTTTACTCGTGAACTTGTTTACGTACTGTGTAATCATCATATTTTGCCCTTTTTCCATTCGTAGTAATTGTTTGTACAATTTTGCCTTTCTAATGGGGCCTTGTGACTGAAATAATGCATTAAGTCCATCCCACGCTTCTTTAGAGGTTTCAGCATTTTTCACATGGTTCAACTGCCTAAGACTAAGGCTTAGATTTATCAGTGCCAATGCCTTTGCATCTTGCTTGATCCATTACTCTGGGCTTCTTTCTGGTTTTATTTCAGTACTGTCAATGTATTTCCACAGATCATTATACACAAGAACACTTCTCATCTGTATTTTCCAAAGTTCGTAATTGTCCTTGTTAACTTCTCAATATTTGAGAATCCGCCACACTGAGTTAGATAATAAATCTGTTTACTTATTTCTTATACTAGATATTCTTTCCTTGTAAGCAATCTTGTGTCCATAACCTGTCAGAAAATGAAGCAAATAAATGAATCTAATGACGCACAGAAATATACAGTTATATATAACATGAAGAAAAGCTGAAAGAGGGGAGACACTGTGCCACACAGAGATGTAGCAGACCAAACAAGACAGTGACCTATGACCAAAAAAGATGTGAAGCTTGCCAACATAGTGCTGTCTAACACAAAATATGTCTTAGCACACGGATTACATTTTTACTTTGTTTCACAAGAATGCTACCGGTTTATGGTTACCAATTCAACACAAGTAATTGAAGTTATAGGGGACTGCTCACCATCCAAAGACTTCTGGATCATTATTTTAGATTTTAAGGCTTGTACCCATCTATTAAACTTGAACCCCATTTTAGCAGTTTATGGGATTGGTTTATGACAAAAATGGCAAATAGTACAGACTGTAAACAAATACTAGAATTATCTCATATGCTTTGTTACACCTCCTGCTTTCAATTGAATGGGAAGATGTTCCTTCAAAAAAAGAAGTACCTATGGGTAGCCCGCTATCAGACAACCTGGCTGAAATTGTGATGCATCTCTTAGAAGCCAGGATCATTCCCAAATTCCTTTCCTGTATTGAAATGTATAAATGATACATTGATGATATATGCATCATCTGGAAAACTAAACCAAATATCAATGAATTTATAAACTGTATGAATGACAATCTGTATCATCTTATAATTGAATTGGAACAAATGAAAAGGAAGCTCATTTTCTAGATATCAACGTCATCACCTTCTTTAAAGGTAGTGTGTACAGAACTAAAATATAACACAAACCAAGCTATATTCCAATATACATCCCAGCCAACTCTAATGACCCATACAACTGACCTATACATAAAGTAGCAACCATTAGAGCACTTACTAGAAGGGCCCACACACATTGCAACCAAAAACAAAAACAAAAAGAAGGAAATAGAAAGAATAACACAGATTTCTGAAATGCACGGTTATACTAAAAACTTTGTATATAAAATGGCAAACAAGCAAAGAAACCAACTTGAAAATGAATTGAATAAAAGTCCAATGAGAGGTATTCCCTGGAAATGGATATGCCCCTCTCCTTACTATATTATATAAACATGAATACCATATGTGTTCTTTGTATCAAGAAATTTAAGCATATATTAATGTGAAAATCACTTACAGATGTAAACCAGATACATTCAAACTGTTTCGGAATGAAAAAGATCAAGCAGACATTAAAAGAGCACTGGAAGTATATAAAATTCTGCTAAAAGATAACAGGTTTGATAGAGATCTTATATACATTGGGAGGGTCTATAAAAAGTTCTCTCAAGCAATGCCTTCCTGAACACAAAGCTAATATAGAAAAGAAGAGACAAATCACCACCTTAGCCAGAACTGCAACAAGATACGCTAATACAACAAATATGCTGTATAAACCAACTTAAGAGTTTGGAAGTATTGGAGATATTTAAAGCAGACTGCCAGAACCTATCTACCAATTTCAAAGATGAAAAGCAAATCTCAAAGTCATGGCAAACTACATTTGACATGACATTATGGTAAATAATGCAGGTGCACCTGATTGAATAATGAAAGAAAAAAATTTATAAAAAAAAAAAACATTCAAAAGTTGAATGCTTCAAAGTCATATGCATTCAAAAATAAAACACTAATAGCACCAGAAAGTCAATTTTAAAAGGTTCTACCTGAGGAAGGTTCTAGAAGTGGATCGAAAATGTTAGTAACATAAGTTATAGTTTTCAAACCATGTTCAAAGTGCAATGAGGTTTGTAAGTTTTATTTAGTTCCCACATAGAATGTTTGAAATTTTTTGTGATGTAAATAAACTTAGAGAGTTTTCCTACCCATTGATGGCTCATACAGTTTTTTTTAATAAACAGTTTCTTCATATTAATTATACAAAGTTGTTCCATTCATTTAGAATTACCTACATTACCAATTTATGCTATTTTTCATGAGATCATTTTGATTTCTCAAAATTCAGCAACTTAGTTCCAAAGAGCAACATTCTCAAAAGCAGAAAATCTTCCTCACCACTAATGAGTAAATTAATTTGATGCTAGGTTTATGTAATGCTGAATGCTAAAGAAGTGTGAGAAATCAAGTTTGATAAGACTAAATTATCAAACTATTATTGACTACAGGTCAGTAAGATACACTCACATTGTCAATGGATGGCTTATAATAGAAAATTTTAGACTAAAGATTGTAAAATCTTAGTCTAGTCAGGACTGACATCAGATACGGTAATTATTCGTGCTCTAACTCATGATATTAAGATTATAATATAATTTTAAAAAGGAGGGCTATTAGTTACGAGTGGGGAGTGTGATAGGTACGTTGATAAGGTGTCCAATATTTAACTAATATGAGCATTTCAATTCCATTTTAACAAATAAAAGTATATTTAATAAACAAAATTAAGAATACAAATGGATATATATATAAAGTAACCTAGAGGGCATTGACTTATCTAATTATAACACTATTACTATATATTGAGAGAGAGTTTACATAAATATATTAATAATACCTCAGTTATACATATTTCCTTGGGAGGCGAAAGTTGGGAACCAGAGGAGAAATTAATATATATGGCGATTACTGTAGAATGCGTGTAGAGTTTGGCACGTAAACTCCTTTTATACAGATATTCTCTTCCAATGAGAATTAGGTAATTTGACCATCTGACGGGATGTCAAGATGAGTCTTATTTAGTCATAGGAGAGATAACGATCTCTCTCAAGACCTAACAGTCAAAAGGAAATGTCTGTTCCTTGTTCTCCTCAAATTTTTTATAAAATAAAAGTTTCAAATTTATATTGAAATATTATATTGATTTAAAGTCTTATAAAAATACCAATTCATTATTCAGATTCTCACAGAAGTGTTCATTTCTCAATCAGTGCTATGACATAACATAACAAATTGGAACTATTGTTTTCTGGCTCAAAGGTGATTTTTGACTTTTTGAGCATGGATGGATGGTATATATGTAATACAAAATGTGTCATAAGTATGTAAGACCCACTCTCCTATTCAAATTTCTCCACAATAAAAATGATACACAAAAACTGAGATATGCACACATATCTGAAATCTTATTGTCATTGGAATGAATATATCATGGCTTGTATGTTGCTTTAAATAACACATATTCATGGATCTCTACATTCATGAATTCTCTTTGTTAGTCATTGATTGATTGTAACTGTGGGATATTGTGCTGTTTGTAATGGTAGAACTATTCAGTTGCTGGAGGGATACTATATCAGTCATAAGTATTGTACAGTTCAATCTTAGCAGTCTGATAAATTATGTTTTGCTGAAAATCACAGAAATGTAAAATACAAGGTATTATTATTCTTAATTTCATTAGTTATCATTTCAAAATTTGTCACTTTTGATTAAGTTAATTTTTAATGATAAACATTTGAAAACCATTCATTACAATATTAAATAACAATAAATAAACGAAAGAATAATTAAAACATTTAAATTTCAGAACTGAACTGTACTTAAAACCAAAGTTGCCAAGTCAATTGTAATTTATTAAAAATGTTTTTTAGTTTTAAAGTTCAACTTCATTTTTAGTTAGTTGTTCTCCCAAAAATTGAACAATTGATAAATATGTCCTCTGACCAGTTATAAATATTTATTATTTATTATTATTATTTATTTATTTTTTAAAGATAACTAGACTATGAAACATTATAGCATAATTATTATTTTATTGTCATTAACTGAAATTTGTAAGGTAATTTATAGTAGCAACGAGCTAACATTGCAGATTGATAACCTAAAACTTTTCTGGGATTAACTAAATCAAAGTTGGTAACAATTATTGTCATTTTAATAAACTTTGCATGTGTATTCATTCTAACATACACACAGTCCATAATTGTGTTTATGATTTAATTCAGCCTCAAAAAAATATATAACAAATCAATTACAAAACATTTAATTACTGTATAAATTGTACTGAAGCTTATTTCCCATTTAAGCACTAGTGTTATCCATATAACATTTTCATTATAGAAAAAATCAAAATGTATAAAATTTTTTGTAGAGATCATCTCATCTTTCTTTTAATGTATTGTTTCTTTCTAAAAAATACAATGGAGAAGTGTATCAAATTACATTGAAATTTGAAAATGTTCAAAGTTCAGTTTTTTTTTTTTTTAAATCTCAGTTTTAAATTTATTTATTTATAATGCTTTTATAAATGATTTAAATCAGTGACAAAATATTTGTTAAAAATATATTTATATATTAATTAAAAAGTTAACCTTTTTATATTTTCCTCTTCATTTTTAATGTATGTTGCATCCAAAACAGCAGCCATTTCTTCATTTGATACTTCTTTGTCATTTTTCATTTCTATTTCTTTTGATGCACATTCATTTGATATTAACTTTTGAAGAAATTTATGTTTACAAGGTGTCTATTAAAAATAAATAAAAAACAGGATATTTGCAAATTCTATTAAAGAATAATAATTAATTGAAATTTTAACTATAAAAAATGAATAGCCAATGCACATATATAACAGATATAGGCAGTCCCCAACATATGAACATAATGAGTTTCTAAAAATATGTATGAAAGTTGAAAAATTAGAGTTGCATGTTATCTCTCTGAAAATGGAGTTTACTATAGCAAATTCCATTCTCAGAGAGCTAAAACAAAATTATAAGATCTGTTTATTATGTTATTTGGAAAATTTTAACTTTTACAATGAATAATGTTACAATGCATATGTGAGACTAATCGGGGGTAGGATGTTTACGAGGATTCCATTTATTCCGTACATTTATACATAGTTAATAATTGGAATACAAATCCCTCTCGGGGGTTCAATCCGTAGTTCATAAAGTAACGGCAAAGTATAAAGTAGTCGCGACCCTACCCGCGAGGTTGGAATATTCGAGAGAGAGCTTACACATCATCGCGTGTAGGATAAATACCTCTAGTTATACAGGATGGTGGTTTCAGGACGATCTTGGAGTCTGAATCCCGGGCTCGTTAAAATAGTTCGTGAGTATACGTAAGTCCGCAAATCGTAGAATAGTTCTATCGAGGATGGTGGCGACGAGAGGCAGGTAATCCACACACACACACAGAGTACAGAACAATAACTTTTTTCCCCTTGTGTCGTCATCCTACTTGTCTTTTATATGGGGGCTCTATTTTCGAGATTTCCCCATGTACGTCACAGGTGATGATCTTCGTTGACCCATGGTGGGCGAAGTGACAAACTTATGACACAACAGTTAACTCATTTTCTACAGGGAAGTATTTTCGTGGGAACGGAGTTTTTATGAGCGATTTTTATGAGAAAATTTGTCGGTTGTTTTTCCCTTTTTGTGTTAACCCTAACTTTAAAAAAATCGATTTGATTTTGAAACAAAACGGTAAATAAATGAACAAAATGAATATAACTATTCGAATCTCGGCCCTCTTAAATCCTGGCCCTCACACACAAATTATTATTTTAAAATGTTAAAACTGTAGATTGAATGGAAAACAGATAACAACAATTCATTTTTGCAAATACCAAAACCAAAATTGGCAGAAAGCATTACAACATGATAACATTATAATTATTTGTTTGTTTGTTAGCTGAAATGTATGAAAGTCCAATTTTGGCATACAAAATGTCTTTTAGGGATGTAAAAGTATTATGTATAAAAGAGTTAGTTGTCCAAAAGTTGAAGACTGCCCGTAATTGAGTAATATAATTAAGTAAATATGTTTTTTATTAAGATAAAGATCAAAATTTTTATACTTTTCATTCATGAAATTAAAAACTACCTGATCTCTAAGTTTCAGTAATCTGTTTTTTTCTTCTTCTTTACGTCTCTTCTCCACTTCATCTCTTCTTTGTTTTTGGCTAGCAAAATAAATTTGAAAATATAATTTATAAAAATCCAACATATAATGTTATGAGATTATTTTTTAGTCAGCTATTTACCACAATTTTTAAGCTTATTTACAATGGTAAAAAACTACATTTAATTATAAATTATTAAAATTACATATTTGATTCAAAATAATTTCATTAATCTGACTTCTTAGTTTAAACAGAAATAAAATTGTATCTTTTTAGTATATAAAAATGTTCAGACATTTACATTTCTTCATCTTCAGATGACTTCTACATTCCAATTGGAACATCTTAACATTTTTTATTACCATGGATTCTGACTTAAATGTCATTTCCATTTGAATTTTAATAAGTTTTCTATGATTTTGGTATACATTATTAGTGTTATAATCTGGTACAGTATAGATTTAACTTTGTTCATTTTGAAGATAATCTTAATTAATGTTTGACAGCATTTTATTTTTATACATACAGTACTGCTTAATATAAAAATAACATACTGTCATAACTAAAAATAGGGTAAAGCATACAAAGCTTTACAATTAAAAGTTAAAACTATAACTGTCTCCAAGTGACTGAATTAATTTTAAAAATATAACTATATTTGTAAGTATTTACATTAAGAAAATACAAATTCATATTTCTTTCTTCCATTTGTCTTTGACCAAGAAATAATATCTTATATTATTGTTGTAAATATAATTTTACTTCTTGTTTATTTTAAATTATTTGAAATATATTAATATCAAAAGACAATTATATTTTTAATTCTTAATTAAAATACTATCAAATATCAGAATTAATCACTTATTAAATACTATCAAATATCAGAATTAATCACTTATAAATCAATTATATCAGAATTAATCACTTATAACAAACAACTCAAAAACTCACACAGATGCAAATCTTTAAATTGCCTTAGTAACAATTTAAGCATTGATGTTGACCTTCTAATTGGAAAATAAATGTTTTCTGAAGATAGAAAAAAAGCAAATTTCTGAAAATGTTTATCAGTAAAAAGTTTGAACCTGTCTTCAAAATATATGATTTTGTTTTTGAAAAATTCTACTTAGATAAAGTTAGAGTCACTACTAAAATCTTCAGCATAGAGTAAAAGTCAAAAATTTTCTTATTTATAATCAATCATCATAGATAAATATTTGAATTTTTTCCTCTGAAGATGAAGTTTATTATTAACTTGTCAACATTAAAATATTGCAAGTCACAAATGCAGAGTTATTCATTAATAATAATTACTTAAAACTTATCTAACTATTCCTTCATAAATAAGTTAGAAATTCAAGAGAAAAAAGCTAATATATAAAAAATTAAAATGTTACACAAAAGATATCACATAAACATTATATTAATCTAGTAGAATTATTTTTATAATGTGTCAATTTGAAGATTAACATATTCAACAGATTAAAAATTATTAATATTAAAAGCAGATATGCCCACTTATGTTCAGGCAAAAAGTAATAAGGACATACATTAAAATAAAAACCATATTAAAAGTTTTGTTATTTTAGCCTGCCATTGTTATTTTTATCTCAAAGTAGAAAAAAGATCAAGTCAGGGGAAAGAGTGGGGTGTCTAGATCAGAGTTCTTCAACCTTGGATACATGAAAATTTCTTGCCAGTCCGCAAAAAATTTTATAGACTGGCAGGAAATTTTGTAATAAAATAATAAGATTTTAAACTTGTAATTAATATAAACAGTTTTTATTTATTTTTTATTATTGCAATTGTTTAAATAAAGTTCATTACAAATTGAAATTTTATTAAAATTATTAGATAATATTATAATTACTATATAATAATAATTAAAAGAGTTTATAAAATAATTATGCATTATAAATTAACATGCATGACAGTTACCAGATGAGCATCAATCTTGTGATAATTTCCCTCACTCCTTACATTCCTGTTGTTACACTTAGTAGGTCTAGGCATTGAAGTATTGCGTCAGATTGCTTATTGGTGACATATAACAAAATTTCCTATTTTATTGCATCTGCACACAACTCAAAAATGAGCAATCAACATGAGAACTAAAGCAATATCATTGTAATACACAGTAACTAGTGTCTCGTTATGGAGAGTGATGACAGTCACATGCAGCAGTTTAAGTCTAAGAAAAATTTATCTTTAGCTTTCTGCTGGTCCACAAAATATTATTCCTATTTGCCAGTCCACAGGTGTGAAAATATTGAAAAATGCTGGTCTAGGTTTCATAGTAGCCTATATTTTCTGCAAGATTCTAGAGTAACTATAAAAAAATTGATGTAGATTAGTCAATCAAGAGATTTAGAAGTGTTTAACGAGCTTGATCAAGCCGATCTGAAAGCACGCTCCACAAAAGCGAATCAAATATTAATTTTGTTTATTATAAATTTTATAAATTCTTGGAATCAAGTAGTTGTTGTACATGTGCATGGACATGCGCAATAAATGGATTGAACAAAACATAATACTTAGGTAACGAAAGTGAAGTCACTATGCATGTGTGTGGACATCTAACAGACAAACAAAAGTCCTAACATAAACACTTCACTATTATATTGGAGTGTGCTAAAAACAGACAACATGTATACCATTTTATAAAATGATGACAGGGTGATAAAAAAGAAGGTGTTATTAAACAACTTTTCAGGATATAAATAACTTTAAACTCTCACTCAATTTCTTTCAGTTTAAATCAATTTAACCTTCATCAGAATTAAATGGAACAGAAGAAATAGAATATCAAATTTTAAATATAAAAGTTTGGCAAAATTCTTTATGTCAGATGTGGCAGTCATGAAGTGAATGTAAATAACAACAATACATAAAAACATTATAAACAAATGACAAAATAATAAATAAATACAATAAAACAAAATAATATAAAATAGAAAAATAAGGTAAAGTATACTCAAGAAATAAAAAAAAGCAAGTATAAAAAATAGTTTACACATTGTATATGTGGGGTTAGGTTCAAGGTGGAGAGACCAATCTCATCCAGTGCAAAATGGAACTTGCAGATGCTTTTACACAGATGGAACTATTTTATATATATATACACTTACGCCAATTGTTTCTTTTTAATAATCTCTCTTTGTCTTTGTTTGAGTTCAGTTTCCTTCTTGGCAGATCTTTCTTCTTTTGTCATTTCTAAAGTACGTTTTAATTCTTTTTCTTGTTCTAATTTTTGGCGCATTTCAATAGCTCTGCGCATCCTTTCTTCTCTCTTTCTAAATATTTACATTTAAAAAAAATAATTATTATTTATAAAGATTTAACAATAAATTTTAAACAAAATGTCAACTCTTACATAAATAAACCAAAATCTATTTAAATAGTAATGAAAACACTAAAATAATTCAAATATTCTTTGATTTTAAAAAACTATATAAAAATTTTAGAATGATATTAAGAGAACAACATTAATTACTGTATATTTAACTTCAAATAAATATGTAATTATATGCCCTAAAAGCTTGCTCTTTTAATTAAATTTCAGATTATATAGGGTGGTCAAATGTAAAATTTACTTGTAAGAAATAAACTTGGTGATACCAAGAGCTGGCTGTGAGCTACTATGCATCCCAAAAATACTTAATTATTTACTACAGTTTGAAGGATACTTGAAAACTTGGGAGGAATATTATTTAAAAGACAACATTTGAAAACTCTAAATAAGTAAATAAATCAAAATATAATTATTGGTAAATATTTTGATTTATTTACTTATTTAGTTAATTATTTATTATTTAGTTACTTTATTTAATAATTTACCATTACTATGACCAATGCATTGAGTCAGGTAAAGCATCATCAACTCCTAGCATTTCTATCTCTACTCCTTGCAAGTAACTTTTTGTTTGATCACCCAATATTATTCATTAATAAATATATGAACCTTTTTTTCTCTTCACTTTTCATATTGAGTAAATTATATTTTTTTTGGATGACTTCCTCTTCTCGCTTTTGCCTTTTTTTGAGTTCTTCTTCAACACTTCTCTCTCTGATTTTGGGAGTCATTTGTTTTATACTTTTAACTCGAGCTATCAAACTTTTCTGACTTGCACACAGTAAACCTGGCTGAGGAGTCTTTTTTAAATAACCACTTGAGTACTTAGATAAATAACCAAAATGATTACTACGCTTCTAAAAAAATTTGAAAGTTTATTATGATAAAAATTAAATATAGATATTTTTATTTAAATAAATAAATTTTCATATATCAAAGTTTAAAATAAAGATCTATAAATGAAGAATTGTTCAAAATTTATAAAATAAATCAATAATAAATGCTTGAGAAATATTTATTTATATAAATACATTACAAAATAAAATGTTTTATTCAATATTTCTTATTTGTATAATAATAATAATAGATCTAAATTTAGAACTGAAAAAAAGGATAGTAAAATACTTTTTGAAGAATATTCTTAATATGGATTGTAGATGTATGTACTTTGAGAGAGAGAGAGAGAAAGAGAGAGAGAGAGAGAAAAGGAAGACTGAGGCATCTTATAATAGATCAGGGGTTTTAACCTTTTTGTTCCATGGACACCTTTTCCAATCAGGTGAAAGTCAGACCCTTTTTTGGAATAATGTTTTTAAAATTAAATTCGAACAAACAAAGGCTTTCAGCTGTATAAATGACAACTTTACATTCGATATTTAAACAAGCCTTTGTTTGTTTCAATATAGTTTTAACTACATGAAAATAAACTTAGAACCAGCTTGCAAAACAGGTGAAAAGACATCTGAATAATATTTTTAAATGCATAAAATAAAATTACAAAATAAACCAGTTATATAGAAATACATTTATTAAAATAATATAAAAAAAAAATTAAAATAAAAATTATATGATATAGCAATATGTGCTTCTTTTGTAACACAATAGTTAACAATTTCAAACAATAACACAAAATTAAGATAAGTTGATTTTTATGCTTCCAAGCCCACAGACCCTGAAAATTTTCTATAAATTCTCTAGGGAGTTAAGATCACTGTTATAGATGAATATGATAAAGAATATAAAAAATTATAACTTATGGAGTGAATAAATTAGCAATAAGCAAATGTTGAGTAGGGTCAAAAACAAAAGTGAAGATTACCAATAGGAAAAGACAAAGAAGAGAAAAAATATGAATGGGACATACTTTGAGAAGAAATGGAATAGTAAGTATAGTGTTAGAAAGATATATGTAAAGACAAAGAAAGAGAAGAAAAAAAATAACGTTATATGATTTAAAAGATGAACATGATTATCAATATTGGTTAGGTTCTGGTATAACCAACTGTTTGGGTTCATACAACTTATTTCAGCATTTCTCATACTACATCTTCCAGTTGACCCCTCTCAATGAAAGAATACTTTAGGGGATCTTCCAAAAGTTAAATTAATTAATATTTTTTATATATATTTTAGGTGTTTCTTAAAACAATGTCTTTGTGTTTTAAACTAAATTAAAATTTTTTAATTTAATAAGAGTTTTAATAAAGGTAATTATTATGAGAAGCATTTTTTATTCCATACTATATACCAGGGATAGCAAACCTTTTTGAGCCCATGTGCCATATAGTAAACAAACTAGCTTTAAAGATTAACAAAAATTGCCTAATTGATGAATTGTGTGTGCTATTGCTAGAGGACTTTTTAACTTTTTTACATTTGTTGGCGAATAGTAGCCTCAAAAAAAAAGGACGGTTTCGCTGTAGACTTGTTGATGCCTCTACAATAAGCGTGTGAAGGGATAGAAGATATGGACTCATGTATATGTATAGTCTAAATTTAAAGATAAAGATGTTTAAAGATGTTTGTGTGCACCAAAGTTTTAGACTTCAAATAACGATATTTAAATAAATTAAATGAATATGCATTAATTAAATTAACATAAAAAAGTTTATTGAAAAAAAGGTGATCAGAATGGTAAATCGAAAGGATGACTGAAAAAGAAAAAAGCAGATGACAAATCAAAATCATATGATATGTTGCATGCAAGATGATTTCTCTTTATGTACCACTTTAGGCATGCATGCAATAGATTTGCCATCCATGCTATATACTATGCTTCTTTTTTCTTCTGAAAGATGAAAGGATCCCACCAATATATTTGTGGACCCCTGTGATCTGCAGACTATGGTTTGAGAAATAGCATCTTATTTCATTACACCAAAATTTTTTTTCCTTTATCTATTTCTTTGCTGAAATGGATAAAGAAAAAAAATATATTATTTTAAAATAGTTATTCATGTGCTAGTTATTACAAAATTTTCTTTTTGCTAAGAAGTCTGTTATCATCAATTGTATCATATTTTTTAGCATCATCAGTAAAAGTGAAAATTTTAATTTAATTAATTAACTACTGAAAAATATTTTCTGAGATATCAATATCAGAAGAAAAATACACATTAATTTTTCAGGCTTTATTCTAGGTATTCTTTATTCAGTTACATGACTATGCCAGTCAAAGAACACAAAAAATTTGTAATTTAAATTTGTCAGATGTTGGGTAAATTGGACTTTTTACTACAATGCCATTCTAATGGGATATATCTGATTCTTGGAATTTACATTCCCATTGAATGTGTGAAGCTAATACCTGTAATTAAAAGAATATGTCTCTGGAAAGTCATTTATTTGACTAGCTAGAAAATGAAGGTACTCTCTCGTAAATGATCTAATCTATTTGGAGAATGGTTTCCATTGACAAAGTCAAGCATTACTGAGTTATATTAACACAAGTGTAATAAAACTCACTGACATGATATTTGCCTGGCTGCAAAGAAAACATGCAAGAAAGATAGATGGCCAACCAAAATGCAAAAAAGTAACACTCAAAAATAGCTCAACAAAATATTGTTGTATATTGGGATAGAATCTCCTTTCATATTCAGTTGTTGATGTAGCCATAACAACTGATTATGAAGTACAGTTTTTAATATTCCCTCTGCAGTTCCACAAACCTCAACATGTCATACTGGATATGGAAAATCTCATTCAAGGCATAAATGACACCATCAAAAATTATTTTAGATGAAAAAACAAGCCTGATCATGTACCAGATCTCTCATTTTGGAATGCCATCAAGTACACCAAGAGATGGTTGGCTGATGATGACATTGTTGTAACAAGAATTGATAAGACTAAAGATAATCATCATGAAGAGAATAACTTAAACACAAGGACTTTTAGAATATATCCAGACCTGCAAAGCATATGCGAAGCAGGTTAATTAAAAGAGGAGTACCTCAAGCCAGTAGCATTTAATGCTACAGGTCAGAGGGAGTGCTCCACTAAATGTAATGTAAAAAAAAATGTAATATATCCAGGTAATGGAGTGCACAGAAGCACTGGTTGTCTGTCTGCAAAAACTTCATAACAGGGTCATAATGTTTATGAATACTCCATCAGCAAGCAACTTACACATGACTAATTCATACAAGCCAGCTTTGATTATCCTTAGGATTTTTGCTTTTGTTAAGGTGCACAAACAAAGCAGCCAACTCCAATCAGTTGTGGATAAGTCCATGTCTCCCACTATCTGGATTAAAAAAATACTCAACAACAATGTAGATAACTTCATAGGGTTGTCAAAAATTCAGCAAGAAACTGCCACAATCGGTTAAAAATGTACCAATGCACACAAGAAACAGATCATTTGAAATTCAAAAATATATAGGAATATATGCTTATCTATTAATTAGATTTGAACCACCAGAGGTAGAGACTAAAAATACATGCACTTATTACTATTTTGCAAATGAGGAAGCTGGTTAAATAAGGTGAGGTACTCCTATGTCTGTTTATGGGTTGTGTATTTTGAGGTCATTTTTAACATTTGGATGTGCCAGACACAAAAATGAATTTCATTTTAGTTTTCTTGGAAACAAATACATCAAGTAATTTTTGAAATGTCATTTATTGTGTATGGGCTAAAAGATTTTCCTTGCTAATCATATCTGATTTCATATTAAATAATGGAATTAACAGTATTAGAACGAATACAAATCCTTTACAATATCAAATTTAAGGAATTTATGAAGATCTCAGTTACATTACAAAAATTTAAGTCTAAAACAGCAGTCAGCAACTTAAGGGTGCAATAAAAATTTTAAAAACCATCAAGATTGAATAATTTAATTTTTGAAATAAATCACAATGTTATAATAAATTAACAAAATAATTATGTTTTGAAATATGTATATGTATACAAAATAAAGATTCTATTTCTCATACATGATGTAATAATTGAAAAATGAAAATTAAAAGTATACATACATAACGTAACAAAATCAAATTAAGTAAAATTACAAGTATATATATATTCATGAGGACACATCTGATATGCACCACAGATGCCACACTGCCAACCCCTAATCTAGAATATAATTAAAGTCTTCAAAAATTCCTTATATATTTCTATTTTATGTTAGTCTTAAATATAATTCATGAATTAATTTTATATTACTCACTTTCTTTGCACAAATTGTAACAGAAGTAGTTGGAGTAGCATTTATTCCTATTGATAAACTTTTATCATTTGAATCTGTTGAAATTTTCTAAAAATATAAAAAACAGTGATNCAAATGCGGCTCTTGCTGAAAGTGTTAATTTCTGCTTTTTATTATTATTTTTACAATTTTATTTCCACAATTTTGTGAAAATATGTTTATTAAAAAAATTCAATATTTATTTTATATCATATTTATATTATATAATATAATTGCAGTACAGAATTAAAAAAATACAGAACTGCGGCTCCTATGCATTTTGCAAAACCTACATTTCGGCTCCCACTGAACTCTTGCTTGCCCACTTCTGATATATACTGGAAAAAAAAATTCCACTTAAAATCGAACCTTGTTGAATACTGCAGGTTAAAGCAAAACTGGAAAATTCATAATCACCTAATTTAATTTTGTATGTAAAGGATAAGAAGTAATTATTTAACCAAGAGTAAACAACAGGTCTAAACAGAAATAGCCATAGTGTGTAGAAAGAAGGATATTAGGAAGGATGGAATCAAAAGCTTGGCTAATATCAATATAAACAATATAAATGGGTTGCTTTTTTCAAAGTTGTCAATAATTATAGATAGAATTTCGAAAAGGTTGGTAGAGGTCAAACAGTGACAGAGACTACCGTGCTGGATAGGTAAGAGTTTAGATGTGATTGGGTAATAACTCCTGCAGTAAATATAAATTTCACAGATCTTTAGCATGGCAGGTGACAGAGTGATAGGGTGGAAAGAGTTTTTATCTTTTTTTGGAATAGCTATTATAGTAGAGCAGTGTTTTTCAACCTGTGGGTCGCGACCCCCAGGGGGGTCGCAAAGCTTTACACGAGGGTCGCGGGTAAAAGAAAAAGACAAGTGTTTGTAGGTCCTACACTACAATAAAAAAAACTACAATTTTGTTGAGAAGGCTGGGCCTGTTTATTTTACAGTACAATTGGTTTTTCTATCGATATTTAGAAAGAAAATTAAATACATAGTTTTTAAAATCACTGATATAGTTTTAATATGGTCCTGGGGGGTCGCCAGAATTTTTTAACTTGTAAAGGGGTCGTGTATTCAAGAAAGTTGAAAAACACTGTAGTAGAGGAATGCTATTGTTTTGGAACAAAGCTATGTGAAGTGAATATAGTAAATAATCTTGAGAAAAATACTGCAGCCACCGGTTTTAGCATTTTATAAAATATGGTTGGGATACAATCTACACTAGAATAACATTTTTTTAATGTCTCAATGGCTTTGGAAACTTCAGAATAAATTTTTAAGTAAATAATTTTCATCAACTTAATTAATAAGAAGATATATGAGATTTTGCCAATTACATAAATATGAATCTTAAACGGAAAAAAGAAAATGTTAGTTTAGAAACTTTCTAGATTAAAAAAAATCAATATAATAGATTTGTATTTTTAAATGTTAAATGTTTGTTCTTGTGTTTAAAGAATTTAAGCTCTAAACCTATAATATATTGAATAAACTCCAATATTTCTAATAAAATCAAAAATATACTTTATTAAAGCACACAAAATTTAAGTTTGCTTCAACAAAGCTTTTTCTTTAGTTTTGACGGTAAGCAGTTAAGCTCAAAGTTTATGGTTGTAAGTCTGTAGAAGCAGCTCAAAATGAAAAATATTTTTTTTGTTTCATAGTAAGATTTGGTTTGAGTCTTGGGTTTTGAATTTATGAATAATCATCAACCTTTTCTTTTTATTTTAAAAATAAAATAGAATCACTGAGAGTGACATATTAATGANAAGCCCACAGGACCCTGAAAATTTTCTATAAATTCTCTAGGGAGTTAAGATCACTGTTATAGATGAATATGATAAAGAATATAAAAAATTATAACTTATGGAGTGAATAAATTAGCAATAAGCAAATGTTGAGTAGGGTCAAAAACAAAAGTGAAGATTACCAATAGGAAAAGACAAAGAAGAGAAAAAATATGAATGGGACATACTTTGAGAAGAAATGGAATAGTAAGTATAGTGTTAGAAAGATATATGTAAAGACAAAGAAAGAGAAGAAAAAAAATAACGTTATATGATTTAAAAGATGAACATGATTATCAATATTGGTTAGGTTCTGGTATAACCAACTGTTTGGGTTCATACAACTTATTTCAGCATTTCTCATACTACATCTTCCAGTTGACCCCTCTCAATGAAAGAATACTTTAGGGGATCTTCCAAAAGTTAAATTAATTAATATTTTTTATATATATTTTAGGTGTTTCTTAAAACAATGTCTTTGTGTTTTAAACTAAATTAAAATTTTTTAATTTAATAAGAGTTTTAATAAAGGTAATTATTATGAGAAGCATTTTTTATTCCATACTATATACCAGGGATAGCAAACCTTTTTGAGCCCATGTGCCATATAGTAAACAAACTAGCTTTAAAGATTAACAAAAATTGCCTAATTGATGAATTGTGTGTGCTATTGCTAGAGGACTTTTTAACTTTTTTACATTTGTTGGCGAATAGTAGCCTCAAAAAAAAAGGACGGTTTCGCTGTAGACTTGTTGATGCCTCTACAATAAGCGTGTGAAGGGATAGAAGATATGGACTCATGTATATGTATAGTCTAAATTTAAAGATAAAGATGTTTAAAGATGTTTGTGTGCACCAAAGTTTTAGACTTCAAATAACGATATTTAAATAAATTAAATGAATATGCATTAATTAAATTAACATAAAAAAGTTTATTGAAAAAAAGGTGATCAGAATGGTAAATCGAAAGGATGACTGAAAAAGAAAAAAGCAGATGACAAATCAAAATCATATGATATGTTGCATGCAAGATGATTTCTCTTTATGTACCACTTTAGGCATGCATGCAATAGATTTGCCATCCATGCTATATACTATGCTTCTTTTTTCTTCTGAAAGATGAAAGGATCCCACCAATATATTTGTGGACCCCTGTGATCTGCAGACTATGGTTTGAGAAATAGCATCTTATTTCATTACACCAAAATTTTTTTTCCTTTATCTATTTCTTTGCTGAAATGGATAAAGAAAAAAAATATATTATTTTAAAATAGTTATTCATGTGCTAGTTATTACAAAATTTTCTTTTTGCTAAGAAGTCTGTTATCATCAATTGTATCATATTTTTTAGCATCATCAGTAAAAGTGAAAATTTTAATTTAATTAATTAACTACTGAAAAATATTTTCTGAGATATCAATATCAGAAGAAAAATACACATTAATTTTTCAGGCTTTATTCTAGGTATTCTTTATTCAGTTACATGACTATGCCAGTCAAAGAACACAAAAAATTTGTAATTTAAATTTGTCAGATGTTGGGTAAATTGGACTTTTTACTACAATGCCATTCTAATGGGATATATCTGATTCTTGGAATTTACATTCCCATTGAATGTGTGAAGCTAATACCTGTAATTAAAAGAATATGTCTCTGGAAAGTCATTTATTTGACTAGCTAGAAAATGAAGGTACTCTCTCGTAAATGATCTAATCTATTTGGAGAATGGTTTCCATTGACAAAGTCAAGCATTACTGAGTTATATTAACACAAGTGTAATAAAACTCACTGACATGATATTTGCCTGGCTGCAAAGAAAACATGCAAGAAAGATAGATGGCCAACCAAAATGCAAAAAAGTAACACTCAAAAATAGCTCAACAAAATATTGTTGTATATTGGGATAGAATCTCCTTTCATATTCAGTTGTTGATGTAGCCATAACAACTGATTATGAAGTACAGTTTTTAATATTCCCTCTGCAGTTCCACAAACCTCAACATGTCATACTGGATATGGAAAATCTCATTCAAGGCATAAATGACACCATCAAAAATTATTTTAGATGAAAAAACAAGCCTGATCATGTACCAGATCTCTCATTTTGGAATGCCATCAAGTACACCAAGAGATGGTTGGCTGATGATGACATTGTTGTAACAAGAATTGATAAGACTAAAGATAATCATCATGAAGAGAATAACTTAAACACAAGGACTTTTAGAATATATCCAGACCTGCAAAGCATATGCGAAGCAGGTTAATTAAAAGAGGAGTACCTCAAGCCAGTAGCATTTAATGCTACAGGTCAGAGGGAGTGCTCCACTAAATGTAATGTAAAAAAAAATGTAATATATCCAGGTAATGGAGTGCACAGAAGCACTGGTTGTCTGTCTGCAAAAACTTCATAACAGGGTCATAATGTTTATGAATACTCCATCAGCAAGCAACTTACACATGACTAATTCATACAAGCCAGCTTTGATTATCCTTAGGATTTTTGCTTTTGTTAAGGTGCACAAACAAAGCAGCCAACTCCAATCAGTTGTGGATAAGTCCATGTCTCCCACTATCTGGATTAAAAAAATACTCAACAACAATGTAGATAACTTCATAGGGTTGTCAAAAATTCAGCAAGAAACTGCCACAATCGGTTAAAAATGTACCAATGCACACAAGAAACAGATCATTTGAAATTCAAAAATATATAGGAATATATGCTTATCTATTAATTAGATTTGAACCACCAGAGGTAGAGACTAAAAATACATGCACTTATTACTATTTTGCAAATGAGGAAGCTGGTTAAATAAGGTGAGGTACTCCTATGTCTGTTTATGGGTTGTGTATTTTGAGGTCATTTTTAACATTTGGATGTGCCAGACACAAAAATGAATTTCATTTTAGTTTTCTTGGAAACAAATACATCAAGTAATTTTTGAAATGTCATTTATTGTGTATGGGCTAAAAGATTTTCCTTGCTAATCATATCTGATTTCATATTAAATAATGGAATTAACAGTATTAGAACGAATACAAATCCTTTACAATATCAAATTTAAGGAATTTATGAAGATCTCAGTTACATTACAAAAATTTAAGTCTAAAACAGCAGTCAGCAACTTAAGGGTGCAATAAAAATTTTAAAAACCATCAAGATTGAATAATTTAATTTTTGAAATAAATCACAATGTTATAATAAATTAACAAAATAATTATGTTTTGAAATATGTATATGTATACAAAATAAAGATTCTATTTCTCATAC